ACCACTCGGGAGGCAGAGCCAGGCGGATCTCTGTGAGTTCGAGGCTGACCTGGGCTACCAAGTGAGTTCCAGGAGAGGCGCAAAGCTACACAGAGAAACCCTGTCTCGAAAAACCAAAAAAAAAAAAAAAAAAAACCTCACTGTTCCAAGCCGAGTGCAGGGTTGCACACTTGTAATCCCCGAACTCTGGATCTCTGTGAGCAGGATGCCAGCCCAGTGTACACAGATACTCCAGACGCCCCAGGGCTGTATAGTGAGACCCTGTCTCAAAAACAGTAACCACGACGACGACAAACAAACCATCTAAACTCTCACAGTGCCATGACAGAGTTAGGAAACCTCGAACACTCAGCTGCAATTTTTAAATTTATGTGTGTATGTGTGTGTGTAAAGAGATATTTTTTTTTTTTTTTTTTTTTTTTTTTTGGTTTTTCGAGACAGGGTTTCTCTGTGTAGCTTTGCGCCTTTCCTGGAACTCACTTGGTAGCCCAGGCTGGCCTCGAACTCACAGTGATCCGCCTGGCTCTGCCTCCCGAGTGCTGGGATTAAAGGCGTGCGCCACCACCGCCCGGCAAGAGATATTTTTGAGACAGGCTCTCACTATACAGCTCCAGGTGGCCGGAAGCATGCTGTGTAGACCAAACAGGTCTGGAACTCACAGGGAGGTGTGCCTGCTTCGCCTCCAGAGCGCTGGGATGGCAGGAGAGTGCGCCACCACACCCGCTCACACAGGGAAAGATGGAGGTGGCATTCCCCTTGCTCCCTGAGTGACAGTCCTGGTCCTAATTAGTTACTTCTTTTTTAAAAATTTCATTACATTTACTCATTATGTTTGTGTGTGTGGAAGCCAGAGGGCAGGTTTCAGAGTCTGTTCTCCTTTTACCCTGTGAGTCTGAGAGATCAAATTCAGGTCATAAGGCTTGGTGGCAAGCACCTTTACCTGCTCACCCATCTCAACGGGCCCCTAGTTCGATATTTGTAATGAAGCAATACAGCTCCACAAGGCATCTCCCCAAACAAGTGCCAGACCCGTTACAATGGCCCCTATCTACATCAGATTTAGAGGTTTGAATAGAAACAGCAGAAGGGAGGGGGAGGGGTGCTCACGACCCTCCCACCACAGAGACTGGTCACCCCATTGACACTTGTGGGCGGGGCCTCTGCACCGAGTCTCCAGGACATTGATGAAGACACAATGAGCCGGGGTTCCATACTACTCTGTAAACAGACTTTCTTCCCCCACTTCACAATACTGGCCAGTGTCTCCTGCTCTGAATGGCTGAGTCGGCAGACTTGTGAGCAGCTGCAGAGATGCTGAGATGTGTTCTTATAACGACACAAATGGAATGGTCTCACCAAATGTCCACAGCTCACAAGCCAAAGAAAAGCACCTTGAGATGGGGTCATAGCAGGGCCAGTGAGAGGGTCCAGTGGGTTGAAGGGAGCTTGCTGTCAAACCTGATTACTTGAGTTGAATCACTGAAATCCACATGGTACAAACAGAACTGACACACACCAGATATTCTGTGACCTCTACACACACACACACACACACACACACACACACACACACACACCCTAAAAATAATGTAAAAAAACAAAAAGCTGAGAATCGGGGAGGGTGGGGAGGACATTTCAAACTTCGAACTGGCAGAAAAAGGAAAGCGTTTCTGTGGGGCGGGTTGAGATAGGGCCTCGGTCTCGTTCTGTGACTCAGCTGGCCTTGAGCCCCAGACGGTCATCCCATCAAATCCTCCAGAGTGTTGGTATTACAGACAGGAGCCACCCAGGCCAGCACGAAGAGACTTTCCAGCACCAAAAACAGCAGGCGCAAAAGTCCTGAGGCTGGACATGCCTGGTACATTTGGGTAAAAGAAAGGACCCGATGACGGGGACGTGAGGGGGGTGAGAGCAGAGAGGAGACCTGGCCGAATGCAAGGCCTTGTGGGCACAGTTTAGAGGATGGAGCTGTAGTTTAGTGGTAGAGCAAGTCCCTGGGGTCAGTCCTCAAACCGCACGCACGCACGCCGCGCGCGTGTGCGCGCGCGCGCGCGCGCACACACAGAGACTTGGGCTGGGTAGATGGCTTACAGGGGAAGGTGCCGAGAACTACCTTCCTACGCTTCTGTCTGACCTCTGCAATTAAGCATGGCACATGCGCACACATGTGCACACTCACATGTAATTTAGAGCTGTTTTCATTTTTTGGAACTCAAGAGATGGCTGAGCAGTTAAGAGCACTGGCTGATCTGCCAGGAAACCAAGGTTCAATTCCCAGCACCTACCGAGCCTGTCATAATTGTGACTCCGGTTCTAGGGAAGCTGGTGCTCTTTTCTGGGCCCCGTGGGTACTACATGCACACAATGCACACCCATACCTGCAGGCAAAACATTCATACACAAAAAATAAAACTAAACACCAGGCGCTGGTCGTGGCGCACACCTTTAATCCCAGAACTGGGAAGGCAGAGGCAGGCGGATCTCTGTAAGTTCAAGGCCAGCCTGATCTACAGAGCAAGTTCCAGGACAGCCAGGGCTACACAGAGAAACCCTATCTTGAAAAATAATAATAATAAAACAACAATAATAATACAAAGTAAGCCTTTTTCTAAAAGTTTAATTTTTGAACTGGGTGTGGTGGCGCACACCTTTAACTCCAGCACTTGGGAGGCAGAGGCAGGCAGATCTGTGAGTTCCAGAACAACCAGAGCTGCATAGTGAGACCCTGTCTCAAAAACAAAACAAACTGTTAAAAATTTTGGACAGAGCCAGGTGGCGCACGCCTTTAATCACAGCATTTGGGAGGCAGAGCCAGGCGTATCTCTGTGAGTTCGAGGCCAGCCTCATCTACAAAGCGAGATCCAGGACAGGCACCAATAAACTACACAGAGAAACCCTGTCTCCAAAAAAAGAAAAAAAAAAAAATTTGGACAGGGTCTCTATGTAGCCCTGGCTGTCCTGGCTTCAAACTCACCTGTTCTGCTTCTTGAGTGTGGGGCTGACACTGAGTCACCACACGGCGACATTTTTTTTCTTAAAAGGACTTTAACTTTAAGGCAGAGAAGGAAGGAAGGAGCCACGGACAATTCTGTAGGGGAAGAAACTGGCTTTAGTGTTCAGGGCGCCCTTGGCTGCTGTGTGGAACGGGGTGTGAGCATGAGAGCTGTGGGGTCAGTAGCCGAGGCTGTCGGAAGGAGGAGGAAGTGTTGAACTGCAGGCCCAAGTCAGGGAGGGCCAGTTTCTCCATTTTGATTTTTTGTCTGAAATATTCAATTATCACCCACCCTGTTTTTCTTTTGTTTTAGTTACATTTAAAATTTTATTTTACATGTATATGTGTATATGACACACAGAGGTCAGTTTCAATTTTATTTTATATGCTTATGTGTGTATGACACACAGGTCAGGGAGTGAGCTCTTAAGGCACGAGGATGTGGAGGTCAGAGGACAACTTGCAGGAGTTGGTCCTCTCCTTCTGCCATGTGTGACCCAAGGATTGAACTCAGGTGGACAGGTTTGGCCGCAAGCACCTTTGTCTGCTGAGCCCTCTTGTGGGCCCTGCATTTTTGTTTTTATTATTATTTTTAATAGAAATGTAGAGTTGTAAAACATTAGTACAAGTCAGATCCTTTTGGTTTCAGTTTGTGAAGATTAAAAATAAGTTCGTTCCAGTTTCCAGGGGTGATAATTCCCGCCCACCTCATCCCACCCCACCCCTGAAAGGCATGCACAACCTTGTATTTACCTTTGTGGGCTCAGGGGGTGGTAATCCTGCACAGGGGTCTGGGGAGCTGGCGCAGGTCCTTTGCAGAAAGGCATTTCCCAGCCCCGAATGTGTTGGTTTGTTTGTTTTATACGTTTTTTTGTCTGACACCAGGTCTCAACTACACAACCCCGGCTGTCCTCGAACTCACTCTGTAGACCAGGCTGGCCTCAGACTCACAGAGGTCCACTTGCCTCTGCCTCCCCAGTTCTGGGATTAATGGCCTGTGACATCACTCCTGGCTCTCCCAAACCTTTTCTTTTCTTGAGACCCAGAACTGGGCATGGTCCATAAGCTCAGACTTGCTGACCGTGAAGCCACGGACTACCCTCTAGCCCTTCCCGGAGCTGGGGTGACAAGTGTGCACCAGAACATGGAGCTCATTTGTTTTAGATAAAAAATGAATTATTGCTGGCGGTGGTGTCGCACGCCTTTAATCCTAGCACTCGGGAGGCAGAGGCAGGCGGATCTCTGTGAGTTCGAGGCCAGCCTGGTCTACAGAGCGAGCTCCAGGACAGGCACCAAAACTACACGGAGAAATCCTGTCTCGAAAAACCAAAAAGAAAGGAAGGAAGGAAGGAAGGAAGGAAGGAAGGAAGGAAGGAAGGAAGGAAGGAAGGAAGGATTATTACTAGTTGTGTGGAGGTGGGGGTGGGGGGCACATGCTTGCTGCTATGTGGGTGTGGGGTCAGAGGATGCTTTGGGAGTTGGTTTTCTTCTTCCACCATTGGTTCAAGGTATCAAACTCAGGCTCTCCTGCTTCCACGCAGGCACGTCACTGTGGAGCCATCGCCATGGCCTGCCTGGCTGTTTTTGGTTTTATTGTGTTTTCTTATGTGGGTGCTGGAGGTCTAGCTCGGGAGGTCTGGCTCGGGTGCTCAGTCTTGTGCAGCAGCCCTTACTAGTGGAACCACCTCTCCATCTCCTGCTTTGCTCTTTGAGACAGGGTAATATGTGGCCCAGGCCAGACTTGAACTTAATGTGTAGTAGAGATGGCTTTTAACTTCGGCTCCTCCCGCCTCCGTCTGCCAGGTCTTGGGATGACAGGTGTGTATTACCTTGTCTGTGTGGTGCTGGGGATGGAACCCAAGCTTCTTGCTTGTTAGACAAGCGCTCCACCCACTCAGCCCCAGCCCCAGCCTTGGGCGACTTGATAAGTGAACTCGTGAGGGTGGGAGGCCTTTCTGAACCTTGTCAGTTCCCTCGCGCCCTCACTGTCCTCTGATCCCCGGCCCAGGTGTCCTATGCACGCCCCAGTTCCGCCTCTATCCGGGATGCTAACCTGTACGTCAGCGGCCTCCCCAAGACCATGAGCCAGAAGGAGATGGAACAACTCTTCTCGCAGTACGGTCGGATCATCACTTCCAGAATCCTGCTGGACCAGGCCACAGGTCAGAACGCCAGGAAGAGAGGGTGCTCTGGGCCAGGGTGTGCCAGGGAGGGGAGAGTCACCTGAGAAGGTACAGAGTACCTGAGTCCGATGCCCTCACACCCTGGCAGGTGTCTCTCGGGGTGTGGGATTCATCCGCTTTGACAAGAGGATCGAGGCGGAGGAAGCCATCAAGGGACTAAATGGACAGAAACCACTGGGCGCAGCCGAGCCAATCACCGTCAAGTTCGCAAACAACCCGAGTCAGAAGACGGGACAGGCCCTGCTCACCCACCTGTACCAGTCCTCTGCCCGGCGCTACGCGGGTCCCCTGCATCATCAGACACAGCGCTTCCGGTGAGCCAGAGTCCGCAGACCCCAGGCCAGGTGCCCCAAGCTTTCCCTGAGCCTGTTTTCTCAGACTGAGGACCCAGGGGCACCCTGCCAGCAGAACAAGGAAGGGCATGTGCCCAGCACAGAGAACAGGGGCTCAGGGTATGCTGGCCACTACTGTTGGCGGCCAAGTGAAGTCCAACTGTGGCTCTCTGTCTCTGTCTCTGTCTCTGTCTCTCTCTGTCTCTTCCTCCCCACCCCACCCCCACGTGTCTTGGTCATGGTTTCTATTGCTGTGATAAGAAGCGCCATGATTACAACCATGTGAGGAGAAAGGGGTTTATTTCATCTTACAGCTAACAGCCCACCATGAGGGGAAATCAGGGCAGGAACCCGGAGGCGGGAACTGAAGCAGCGACCATGAAGGAGCCCCGCTTACTGGCTACTGTCCATACCTTGCTCAGTCTGCTCTCTTACACAGCCCAGGCCCACTTGCGTAGAGAGGGCACTGCCCACAGTGAGCATCCATCAAGAAAAGGCCCCACAGGCTTGCCCACAGGCCAGTGTGATGAAAGCATTTTCTCCATTGAAGTTCCTCTTCCTAGCTGACCCTAGTTTGTGTCAAACTGACCAAAACACAACAACAACAACCCCCCCCACCCAGAAAAAATGAGAGAAGAGCCTGGACATCCTGTCTGTCTCCCATTTTTCTCTCTGTTTGTCTTTTTCTTTGTGTCTGTCTGTCCTTTCTCCCTTACCTTTCTCTGTGCCTGTCAGTCTCTCCGTATGTCCTCTTCCAGTCTCTCTGTCTTTATCTCTGTATCTGTCTCTCTCTGTGTGTACCTGTGTCTTTTTCTTGTCTCTCTTTGTCTCTGTCTCTCTCCTCTCTATCCCCCCCCCCCCCCCCCCCCCCCCCCCCCCCCCCCCCGCAAATGGGTCCAGCTGTGCCTCAGTCTCCTTGTGGATAACACCACCACCAAACATTTCCTCTCATTTCTTTCTTTTTTTTTTTTTTTTTTTTTTTTTGGTTTTTCGAGACAAGGTTTCTCTGTGTAGCTTTGCGCCTTTCCTGGAACTCACTTGGTAGCCCAGGCTGGCCTCGAACTCACAGAGATCCGCCTGGCTCTGCCTCCCGAGTGGTGGGATTAAAGGCGTGCGCCACCACCGCCCGGCCCCTCTCATTTCTTGTATACTGGCCATGATCATATTTCCTGCATGGTAACTGGGTAGAACAGAGCTTGTACCATGACATTTACTGAGATTTCTTCACCTGAGACAGAGAGTGGACAAGCCCAAAAGAAGACTCGAACCCGGGATCCTGGCTGCTCCCAAGCGGGAGGTCAATGGGAGCTCCTTGTAGCTCTGGGGGTGGCTGTGTGAGCTGCCCGTCCTCCTGTGGGCTCAGGAAACAGACCCCGAGGCTGTACTGCCACCTTTATGAGCACTCCTCTGAAGCCAGAGATCTCAGCCCCTGGGTCCTCCTGGCAGGGGCCCGCCCACGGAGGCCTCGCGAGAGCAGGACAAGATCACTCAGGCTGGGCAGCAGCAGGGCTGCTGAGAAGCAGTCCCGAATGAGTGAGGTTCCGTGCCAGGCGGTGTCCAGCCGGGCTGGGAGCGGGCGCGGGGGAGGGGGGAAGGGGGGCTGCTGAAGGCTGTGGGGGTGGGGAGGACTGGCTGTCACATCACGGGGTGGGTCACAGGCCACTCTGACAGCTGCTTCTGCCTCCACAGGCTGGACAATTTGCTCAACATGGCGTATGGAGTCAAAAGGTAACAGTGCTCCTGCCCCACTGTCCCTCCCGCACAGCCCCTTTCCTTGACGGCCTCCTCTAACCCCTGCATGGCCCTTGTCCCGGGGACCACTGGGTAACTGTCTCTGCCTGTGTCTAGGAGATGATAGCCTCACGTCCATGAGCAGGGCGGATGTCTAGAGAGTGCTGCAGCAGGTGGAGCATGGAGGGCTGCCTGTGGCTTTCAGACATTTCTTGTTATCGTCTCAGCAAAAGCAGGATGCACTTGTGCCCCCAGCTCCCACATTAACCCTCTGAGAGTCACTAACGACTACTATTTTGTGTGTTAGGAGTGGGACTCTGGGACTTCTGCATGCCAGGCTTGCACTGAGCCATGCCCCCAGGCCCTCATGGGGGATTCAAGGCAGGGGCTCTATAGCCAAGCCATTCCTGAGCCCATCCTTCAGCGACCACCGTTGGCTCCCTTTCCTCCCCGCGGTCGCTCTAAACCTTGAAGGCACCCTAGCTTCATCCACATCCCTGCTCTTGGGAAAGTCTCCATGTTCTCTGTGTCACAAGCTGTTGGGAACATGTTGAATATCGAAAGCTGGGCTGGAGGCCAAGGATGTAGCATGGCCCAGGCAGACTTGCTCTCTCTTGGACATGAATTCGAGACAGAATACAGTGCTTGGTACATAATAAAAGGTGGCCATGTCTGAATACTGTCGCTGATGTTCATGTTCTCAGCCCCTCGGGGATGAGATGTGGGAGTGAGTTGGTGGCCAGGGCAGTGCAGGGGCAGCATTAGGTCATGTGATGGTGACCAGAAGAGGCCTGGAGGGAACCCCGGCGGCAGGGACAGCTGGTGCAGAGGCTCAGAGGAAGGAGTGAGCTGAGTCCCACGTGGTCAAGGTTAAGGGGTTCAGACTTTCAGAGTCTTCTCCCTAAGTTGAGTGATTTAATCCTGAGGGTGAGGAAGCCAGTGGGGATGTGGCTTTCTATCCTTTAACTAATTCAGTCAACAAGCAACCTACTAAGTGTTACCTGAGAGGTGAGACATCCAGAAAGCAACATCAGGAACATGGTGGTGACATGAAACAGTTGTCCTCCTTACCCATCAGGGACACATCCCAAGACTCCTTGTGGATGCCCGACTCAGAGATTGACATGAACACCTCTATATGTCTTACTTACTTAAGTTTCTATTTCTTTGTTTATGTGATTGTTTGTTTGTTTATGAGGCAGGGTTTCTCTGTGTAGTCTGGTATCCTGGAACTCACTCTGTAGACCAGGCTGTCCTCAAACTCACAGAGATCTGCCTGCCTCTGCCTTCCAAGTGCTGGGATTAAAGACATGTGCCACTGGCCCCAGTTTATTATTATAATTTTGTACTGGAGAGGAAACTCCAGGACTTGTGAATAAGCACTGGACACTGAGTTACACCACCCAGCCCTCTGTGTTTCTTGACACAGGGTCTCATGTAGCACAGGCAGGTCGGCAATGCTGCCTGAGCTTGTCCTTGAACCCTGCTCCTTCTGCCCCTCCCTCCTGAACATGGGGGTACGTGCAGGTATGTTCGGTTTGTCTTCTTACTTTGTATTTTGAGCTTGTGACTCTCCTGCCTCAGCATCCTAGAATGGCAAGCCTCGTCGCCAGGCCAGCTCCTTCTTCATAATTTCACAGACAGATTTGTTCTTTCCTTAGATATTAGTGACCTCAGCATGTGATCGTCTCTTTTCCATATGTGAAGAACTTTCACTTTTTCCCTTAAAGAAAACATTTTTATCAGTTTCTCTCAGGCATTTCTAAATAACCAGCATTAACCGTTAACCAATTAAAATAAGAGTTCCTTAACACAGAAACTATGATTTTACAGACTGCAACCCACAGATCCAGGGAAGCTACCTAGCAGGGGGACCCTAGGATGACTGTGGCTTATAATAAGTTTTGGTTTTGCCCAATCACTGGGCAAGATTTAGTGAAACATTTCACTATTAGGATAAAAATTTGTACTGTATCAAGCTGATGAAAGAAAATGCTGGCCATACTTTCAGGAGGGGAGGCTAAAATCTTTTTAGATTATGGATTAGCCTATAGAAAAATGTCTGCCGTAAATCAAATAGTGAAGGGGGAATTTCACTTACACAACTTAAGTAAAACATAGATCTCTGAACAGATGAAGATAGGTTTCTTCTGTATCCCAGAATCTAACCAATATTTATATGTATAATTCAGCTATTATTTGGCTTAAAAGGGCTTATTAGGAAATGTTATCATTTATACTATTTTCTACAGAGAAAATATTTTACTGTTTTAAAATAACCCTGGACTTTTAAATTATAACCGGTTTTTATGTTTAAAAAAAAAAAAACTATGATTTTAGACAGTCAGTCTGACAATAAGACAACTAAGTAGCTAACAGGAGGGTAGCATATACTGTATGGACACACTGGCCAAACGTGACATCTCATCATGCTACTCAAAACAGTGTACAGTCTTTTCTCCTTACTTAACCTCTTCTTCTTTCTTCCTCTTCCTCCTCCTCCCCTCTCCTTTTTCCCCCTTTATTCTCTTCTTCTAGACAGTCTTACTGTGTAGCTGGCTGGCCTTGAACTCACAGAAATCTCCCTGTCTCTGCCTCTGGAGTGTTGGATGAAAGGCATGTGCCACCACACAAGGATTTTTGCTTCTTTTTTGTTTGGTTTGGGGGTTTATTTTAAGATGGCATCCCATGTATCCCAGGCTGACTTCAAGCCTGAGGCATAGATGAAGAGGATTCTGAACCTTCATCCTCCTGTCTCCGCTGCCCTGGTGTAGGATGACACACAGGAACCATCCATCATGCTTGGCCGTTTGTGAAGTAGGGGCAGGAACAGTGCAGTCTGGGGCTGGGGGAGACGGCTCAGTGTGACACACGCATAAGGGACCTGACTTCAGATCTCCAGCGTCCGTAAAAAACCCTGGAGTGGCCGTGGACATTTGTAACCCAGTGCTGGAGAGCCGAGACAGGAGGATCTGAGAGGGAGAGAGGCCGAGAGACAGAGAGACCGATTTAACAAGAAAGGCACTCTTGAGAATGGAAATGTGTTAAAGCTGGGACAGACCCAAGAGTCAAAATGTTTGTTTTGAAACAAGTTTTTGCTCTGTGACCTCAGCCTTCCGAAAGCTACAATTATAGTCCTAAACCGCTTTAACCATATTCAGTGTGCAATTTAAACACTTCTGACTGTGGGCCGACAAGATGGCTCAGAGGGTAAAGGGGCTTGCCACACAAGTCTGACCGCCTGAGTTCAATCCCCAGAACCCACATAAGGGTGGAAGGAGAAAACCAACTCTACAGACTTGTCCTCTGACCCTCATGTGTTCTCCCCTTCCTACCACACACAAGAAGAAGAAGAAAGAAGAAGAAGAAGAAGAAGAAGAAGAAGAAGAAGAAGAAGAAGAAGAAGAAGAGAAGAAGAAGGAGAAATCCAATAAAATTATATCAAAAATTCTTGCCGGGGCAGTGGTGGCGCACGCCTTTAATCCCAGCACTAGGGAGGCAGAGGCAGGTGGATCTCTGTGAGTTGGAGGCTAGCCTGGTCTACAGAGGGAGTTCCAGAACAGCCAAGGACTGTTCACAGAGAAACCCTGTCTCAAAAAAAAATTATTTATGGTTGTATACCTTCTAATCTTCATAGTTCAGAAGGCAGATTCAGGAAGATCACAAGTTAGAGGCTAGCCTGGGCTATGCAGTGAGGCCCAGTCTCAAAAAGCCAAAACATGGGCTGGAGCAATGACCCAGTAGCTAAGAGCACTTGTTGCTCTTGCAGAGGACCCAGGGTCAGTTTCCAGCACCCACATGGTGGCTCACAACCATCTGTAACTCCAGTTCCAGGGGTTCTGATGCCCTCCACTAGCTTCTGTAGGTACCAGATGTCCATGTGCTTCACAAACATACATGCAGGCAAGCACACATAAAAATGAAATAAGTCCAAACTGAGCATGACACATGCCTTTAATCCCAGCATTAGGGAAGATCTCTGAAGGCCAGCCTGGTCTACATAGTAAGTTCCAGGACAGCTAGAGCTACGTAGAAGAGCCCTGCCTCGAAAAACTAAAAATATTTTTTAAAAAGCCCAAACAAACAAACAAACAAAAACCCCCAAAAGCCAGTCAGTGAATTTTGGAAATTTCTGTTTAATGTGTTCAAACCAAAGGCAACTACAGGTAATTGAAACCAGAGAAAGAAAAACTTTGAGGTCAGGGGGTGCTGCTTATGATTCGGATAGGGAAAAGACCAGAAAGGCAGATAGACGGGGCCACTTTATAGTGCCGGAAGGTGCTGGACCCCTGGGCCCCGTAAAACACCCTGTGCTGCTCTTGCAGGGCCAGGTTTACTCACACAGGGGGAGTCAAAATGGAGTCAGAGATGTCAGGGCAGATTAGTACCAGGACAGGGTCGGACCTGGGTCAAAACAGCCAGAAGAAGAGCTGGGGCTCAGTTGGTGCCTGTGCTGCATTTACAAAGTGCTGGGCTCCTTACCCAGTGCCGCCATGGAGGCTGAGGCAAGAACTGCAATTCAGTTCAAGGTCAGCATGGGTGGGGTGCAGTCAGTCTGTCTCCCTCTGTTCTCTCTCTCTCTCTATCTCTATCTCTCTCTCTCTCCTCTCTCTCTCTCTCTCTCTCTCACACACACACACACACACACACACACACACACACCCCCGAGTTGGTTTTGAAGGGGTGGAGCCTGGGGATGCAGCTGAACTGGAAGGGCACTTCTGGCGTGCACAAAGCCTTGGGTTCCACCCCAGCACTGAGGAAGCCTGGTGTGCTGTGCAATGCCAGCACTTGGGAGGGGAGAGACGGGAAGCGGAAGTTCAAGATCAGTAGGCAAAGAGGAACAAAAGCAAAACCGAGAAGCCACCCTTGGCTACATAGTGAGTTCAAAGCCAGCTGGGCCACACAGAACAGAAGTTGACTTAGAAGGTGTCACTACGGAAGGGTGAAGATCCAGGTAGGGTCAAAGGTCATGAGATCAAGATAGAGATGGTACTTTAGGACAGGGTCATAGGTGATATTTGGAGAGCTCTGGAGGACAGTTTGCAGGTCAGGGACTGGTGTCTCAGTGAGGTCAGAAACAGGTAATGGGGTCACAGCTAGGTTAGGACAGTATAGGGTTCTCCCAATGGGGGTCTCGGAGGCATGCTGGGGATCAGGGCAGAGCCCGCGTGACCCCCAAAGTAGTCCCCTGTCCGCTCATCGCCAGGTTTTCCCCAATCGCCATCGACGGCATGAGCGGCCTGGCCGGTGTGGGCCTGTCTGGAGGCGCTGCGGGCGCCGGCTGGTGCATCTTCGTGTACAACCTGTCCCCGGAAGCCGATGAGAGTGTGCTGTGGCAGCTTTTCGGACCCTTTGGGGCAGTCACCAATGTCAAGGTCATCCGAGATTTCACCACCAACAAGTGCAAGGGCTTCGGCTTTGTCACGATGACCAACTACGATGAGGCAGCCATGGCCATCGCCAGCCTGAACGGCTACCGCCTGGGTGAGCGTGTGCTGCAGGTGTCCTTCAAGACCAGCAAGCAACATAAGGCCTGAGAGGTCGCCGCCCTCCCTCCCCGGGCAGCAGAGAGAGAGAGAGAGAGAGAGAGAGAGAGAGAGAGAGAGAGAGAGGGAGAGAGGGAGAGAGGGAGGAGAGAGAGAGAGGAGAGAGGGAGAGAGAGAGAGAGAGGGAGAGAGAGAGAGAGAGAGCGTGACTGCAAGAGCAGGCAGACCCACACACCTGCAAAAAACACCACAGGGTGAGCATTGGGATGGGGGGGTCTGCAGGAATGGGGGGGACCCCCACCCTGTTCTCCCTGCTTCCCCCCCACCCAGCTGGGGCCTGTTCACTCTCTCGTCTTGGTTTGGTTCATGGTGATGGCTTTTGTTTCTTTTTTCGGCTAAAAATAAAAAGAAGAAAGCAGAGAGGAGACCCCCCCCATCCCACCTCCCCCTCACCACCCTGCATGGGTTGGCTCAGGGGACACAGCAGTGCCCCACCCAGGCCTCCCTTGCCCAGGCCTGTCCTATACCGCAAGAAAGGGGAGGGAGCAGGTTTAAAAATCCCCAAAACAGCAAAAACACGAAAGAGGGGTGTGGGCATCCCCATCCCCCCGCCCCAGTCCCCTGGGCAGAAAACAGGGAGCAGGGTTGGGGCAGGGCAGGAAGCAGAAACAAAATGAAAAAAAAAAAAAGGGGTGGGGTGGGGTGGGAGGGGAAGAAAATCTCTATTTTTGTAAAAAGGGGAAAAGACCTCGTGGAGAATTTTTACTGGGGATTCTTGAACTTGAAAAAAAATCACAAAAAAAAGACAAAAAAAAAAAAAGAAACTATTTTGGCAAGTTATGTTTACCAACTAACTGGGGCAGAGGGCACAGGGAGCAGGGCTGAGGGGTTGGAAGTCCACAGGGCCGCCAGTACACACACACACACACACACACACACACACACACACACACACACACAGCCACAGGAAGCCAGGAGGGACATACACTTGGACCTTGGAAACAGATACACAACACACACAGAAACATTTCAGGATACATTCAGGAAGGTTGACCAAACCCACACCAGAGGACGGAGACACACGGACCTTGGGGTTGCATCGACACAGACATTGGCTGCTTGTCCACAAAACCACGTGTATACAAGCCACTGTGACAGATCCATTCGGATGTAGGAATCTGGACACAAGTTTCCAAAGAGAGCCTGGGATGCCACTGGGTTGGCGGAGTGCTTGTAGAGTGTAACGAAGCCTGGGTTCATCCCCAGCACTGCATAAACCTGGTGTGGTGGTGCACAGCCCTCATTCATCCTAGCACTTGAGAGGCAGAGGCAGAAGATCAGGTCAAGACTAGCCTTGGCTACATAGTGAGTATGAGGTCAGCCTGGGCTACGTAAGACCTTGTCTCAAAACACAAAAACAAATAGGTCACCTAGAAACATACAACACCTAGGGACATACACCCATGTTCACAGCACCCTACAGGCCCAGACAAGACGTTCCCACTGGAGACCTTGATCTAGGTACTTCCTCCAGCCAGGCTGTCCAGCCACTTCTCCCTGGGCCCCAATAAGCCCCAGCCCCAGGTTCTCTGCACAGACTCCTTAGCCCACCAGGGGCCTCCCTGCTGCCCACCACACAGGCGTACACACATGGCGTCCATGCATCCAAACACACAATACCTCGTTCCACTTTGGCATCACCGTGGGCTGGAGGGGGCTCCCCACAACACTGAGGCCAAAGGACCCCCGTGCCCCTGGGGCTCAGCCTCCCTGGGACCAGGGGGAGGTCTGCAGTCTCCCTCATCTAGGGCCAGCGTGCTCCCCACCGCAGCAAGCACCCAGCACCCCCCCCCCCCCAGATGCAGGGGTGGATGGACCCAAGGTGTCCCCCACATTCCTTCCCATCCACGTGTCGCCCTCTTTTGATTGTTGGGTTTTTTCGTCTTTCCGGACTGTGGGGGAACCATGGATGCAGCCTTCATGAGCCCCAGCCCTGGCTTCTGACTGGATTTTGCATCCAAACCCCACACTTTGACTTTTTATTCTTTTATGCAAGTTCCAACAGAAGCCACAGGCTGGAGCCCCTGGGAGCCCCAAACCTTCAACCCACCCCTCAGTGGGCCCAGTCACACCCGAGAGTCGTGAAGCCCCCCGCCCACTGGTTCTAGTTGCTTTCTTCCGGTGTCCTCTGCGTTTGGTGTCTGGCCACGGTCCCATTTGAGCGTCCCAACTCTCTCTCCCCACCCCTCCTGGTGTTGTTCTTAACCGTCTGTGGAGTTTCTGCTGCAAGGAACAAAAAGAAAAAAAAAAATTAAAAAAAGACCAAAAAATAAAAAATGAAAAAAAAAAAGAAAAAGAAAGAAAACTCAGAAGATGAAATATAGCAACAGGAAAGAAAGAAAAAAAGACAAAAACACACACAAAGACGATTTAAAAAACAAAAAAAAGGAAAAAAAAGATAAACTGTCACCAGTTAACTTTCTTGTACTTTTTTGCTGAATTTAGCTTCATGTAGTTTTAACTTATTGCTATGTTAACTATTTATTATCCTTGTTGGCCTGTTAAGGACCTTTGTGTATATTTCTGTTCTCTCATTGCTTTGCAAGTTGAAGGAAGATGTCCCTTTTCTTTCAGTTTTGCTGAGATGTGGTTATGCCTAATTTATTTATAAAAAGGGGAAGTGGAGTCATTAAAGTAATAATTATTAATAACAGTAATGGTAGCGGAGTGCCCCCCGGGGGTGCCGTGGGCTCCGAGGGGTGGGGTCCCCACAGCTGTCGGTGCCCAGGGCCTCTCAACGGGATTGTTTTGCTATTGTCTTGAGAAGTTTTTTGTCTATTAGCTGGTGAACTCTAGCTTGCTCACGATACACCAAACCTATTTATTCTGGTGGTTTCTAAGTCTGCCCTAATCCTCCCCCTCCCTCCCAGCAGGACAGGGACTCCCCGCCTTCAGGGGGTCCGACCCCTTCTTTCCCTGCTGTTTCTGGGGTCTCCCCCTGCCCTCCGCACATGCTGGAGGCATCCGAGCAATAAGGGCTGGGTTTGTCCCCCACCCTGGGGGGAGGGCGGGCTCTGAAGAGGGGGCTCCTCCCCCCCACCCCCTCCCACCAAGGCCTAGGTCCCTGCTGCCCCCAAGACTGGGAGGAGGGGACTTTTTTCTAAGACACAAGCTTAGCCCAGCCAGGCCCCCTCCCTGGAGGCCAGTCCCCCAAGAGGGCCAGGCCAAGGGCTCCCAGGGAGAGGGGCCCTTGGGTCTTCCAAAGTCCCTGGGGGCCAGGGGCAGGGCCAGTAGGGAGGGGGCTCAGCCCCTCCAACCCTTCCTTCATCCTGTTTATTGGGAAAGTTTCAAACCATGACAGAGTCCATGTTGGAGGTGATATAAAGAACTGTAGAAAAAAAACAAAAAAAAAAAACCAAACCTCAACCCAAACCCACGAACACTTCAAGTTGCGTTTAGACTATTTATTACTGAGATTCCAGGCCTGGCCGCGGTAACTGACTTTTACATGGAATTGTTTAATTATTTGTACTTTTCATGCCAGAAAATAAAAAGTTCAGAATCTTAAGTCTCAGGTGATTTGTGTACCCCTGTGGGCAGGGGTGGTGGGAGGGAAACCCAGGAAGGACACCATCCCCCTGGGCTGGGGTCTCTAAAGATGGCAGGCGGATCTCAATAGGCCTCAATAGCCTACAGTCTACCAATCACCAGGCGCTGGGTGTCTTGACCGTCGGTCGGCTTGCAGGGCTGGCTGCAAGGCTCTGCACACAGCTGCTTCCCGAGTGCCAATTTCGTAGCTGGGACAGGAGTCCAGTCCCCATGGCAGGAGGCCTGCAGCAGGAGCTTGGGGCTGCGGGCACTGCCGTCAGGAAGCAGATGGCCACAGGGGTTAGGGTACAGGCCACCAGGCCTGACCTCAGCTCCCTCCCTGGGACTACAGCCAGAGGTGTCTCCTAGGCAGCTCTAGATCCTGTCAAGTTTGACAGCAGTAACCAGCACACTCCACATTTGCTGTCTGCTCACACTTGTCCTGTTCTACACCCCGAAATGAAGGCGACCTAGCCAGGCATACTGGCCCATGCTTTGGGAGCCTGAGGCAGGAGATACTCTGAGGCTAGCCTGAGCTACATAGACCAACAGGGAAGAAACAGCACACACAACACACACAGCTGATGTGGGCGAGTCACATTTATTGTTCTGAGGTCACATGTAAAGTCATCCGCTCATCTCCCAACAGCTGGGGAGGCAGGGGTGAGGTGGGCAGGGAATAACTCCCACCCAGAGATCCAAGGCGAGTGAGCTCCTTAATCCATCTCTGGAGGCCGCTGGGGCCTCAGGAATACAGATGGCTTGGCTAGCCTGGGCCAGAAGTCAGGCTTAGAGCCCCATGGGGTTCCTGCTACCAGGAGGATGGCCAGAAACCCTGGGGTGGGCAGGCCGTGGTCCATAGACTGCAGGATCAGTAGACTGGTTTCAGGCCTTGAGGTCCTAGGATGGAAGACAGAATTAGAAAAGACGGAGGGGCTGGGACATGGGTTAGTGCAAAAGCGAGCATGGAGGGAACCCTGGATCCCACCCCAGCACTGGAAAACTACAAATTATTTTTGAAAGATGTGGTTGAGCTGGCAGACTGTTTGCCTAGCACAGGAAACCCTGGGTTCAGTCATCAGTACCTCGTACAGGGGGCGTGGTGGGTGGCCCAGTGGAGGCGGGTGGCCCAGTGGAGGCGGGTGGCCCAGTGGAGGCGGGTGGCCCAGTGGAGGTGGGACTGACAAACTTTCAAGGCCAGTCTGGACTATCTGACAAAACTGTCTTTGTTTTTGATACAGGGTTTCTCTGTGCAGCCCAGGCTGGCCTTGAACTCACAGAGATCCGCCTGCCTCTGCCTCTCGAGTGTTGGGATTAAAGGCGTGCGCTGCCACCACCTGGTAATAAAACTGTCTTAAGAAACACTTGGGGGGGGGGGGGCTGGAGAGATGGCTCAGAGGTTAAGAGCACTGGCTGCTCTTCCAGAGGTCCTGAGTTCAATTCCAGCAACCACATGGTGGCTCACAACCATCTGTAATGAGATCTGGTGCCCTCTTCTGGCCTGCAGTTATACATGCTGTATACATAATAAATAAATAAATCTTAAAAAAAAACAAAACAAAAAAACACTTGGAAGGCAGAGGTAGGCAGATCTCTGTGAATTTGAGGCCAGCCTGGTCTAGGGCTATGTAGAGATCCTGTGTCAACCCCCCAAAAAAAACCTAAGAAAACATGGGCCTGCCAAGGTAAGGGTAGGGTGCTGGCCTAAGTTCTGTGCCTGCGGCCCATGTGGTACAGAAGAGAACCAACCTCCAAGCTGTCCTCTGACCACGCACACAGGCACATGGTTTACGCCTTTCATCCCAGCACTTGGAAGGCAGAGGCAGGTGGATCACTGAGTTCAAGGCCAGTCTGGTCTACCTAGTAAGTTCCAGGACAGTCAAGACTACACAGTAAGACCCTGTCTCACAGACAATAAATAAATAATAAGATATAAAGTCAGGGGCACAGGTTAGGAGAGTAGCAAAGTCCACACGCACACTGTAACGGAGACCTGCCTCCTTACCAGGCTACAGCTCATCATGGTCTCCGTCAGTGGGCACTTCTGGTGGCGGTTCTGGGCAGGCCGCGGGTGTCATCAGCTCCATGAGGTACTCACAGCGACTAGGCTCCGTGGTACTGGTCACCACAGTCTCTTTGCCACACAGCAGGCGCACCTGGGGATGGGAACGGAGCAGGAGCGGAGCGGGGCTGGGCTGGGCTGGGCTGGGCCTGGGTCCCCACAGCCCCAGGCCAGACACTTACTGTGGTAGAGCGGTTGGGGCCCTGCCAGCAGCCAGTGCCCTGCTCGTACTTCATGGCACTGAACTTGTCGTGATCGGGGCCAGCCCACGAGCCCCACGTGCTATGGGAGAGAGCAGGGGTGCTGAGCACTTGGCCAGTGGGTGGTTGGGGGCAGGGTAAAGGCAACAAACCTCAGCCCACTCACCCAAGGTTGGTCGGGGAGCCCCCATGTTTGGGTTTCTGGGAGACCAGTTTGAAGGGGCAAAGCCGGTAGATGTACCTAAGGGCAGGGAGAAGAGCTGAGTGACAGAAGATGGGGACCCTAGGCTGGCCTCAAACATGCTGAAGTAACTGAGGTTGGCCCTGAACTTATGACCCTCCTTGCACCCCTCAAATATGTACCACTATGCTCAGTTTCATGACTCAATTTGAGGTCCTCCTGCCTCAGCCCCCCAGTGGATGAGATCAGAGATATGAACCCTAACTTGTTTGCCCAGTACCCTCCCTTGCACCCCCCTCCCCCCACTGCCAGGATGTACTCGTTGGTGGTGAGCTCGTAGCACTGGCTGTAGAGATACGCGAACTCCCCGTGGGGACCGAAGTCAAAGGAGATCTCTTGTTCCAAACTCCTGGAAAAGCAGGTCAATGGTGAAGGGCGCGAGAGCCCAGGGCCCAGGGGAAGGAGTGTGGACCCGAGAGCCCCACACAGCAGGGCCCAGCTGCATGGTGGGCAGACACAGGCTGTGCCTGGGGCCTTGCAAGAGCCAGGCTGGCACCTCCTCCGAGGGGAGCTGGTAGTACACTGTAAGTGGGCAGGAGGCAGCCTTGGTCCCCATACCTGATGGACTCCTCCATCTCTTTCAAGGACCGCTCAGCTTCCTCAAACTTATTCCGGGCCTCCTGTGCAGCTGAGGGGTGGGAGATCAGGGGGGCCTCAGTTCCACGAGAGAAGACACAGAACAGGGCCCCACGGCGAATGTGACAGCTGCCTCTTATGCTCTGGGGTTTGTCCCCGACAATGATGGCCCTCTAGGCCTGACCAGCTGCAGAGTGAGTCTCCTCTGCTGCCTGGCTCTCTAGAGTGCAGGGCCAGGGCTCCTGGGGCCCGGCTGGTTCCTGGCCTGTTATGCATGTTACAAACAAGTACAGCCCATGAGGAGAGAAGACTCTTGGGGATAGGTACAGCAATTCCCAAGCAACCCGGGCATTGCAGGGCCAGGGAGCACCTCCATGTAAGCGCAGACCTGCTCATGGCAGGTGGGGCCTGGTTGTCGGACAGGAAAGCTGGACCCCTTCCCAGCAGGTCCCCACTCACCATCAATGACAGCCTGCGTCTCCTCATCGTAGGGTGGCATCTTTTCATCCTCAGTGGGGCTGGCAGGCTGTGGGGGCTGGAGAGGGGCTGGAGCCTCCTGGGCAGAGGGCAGGGCCCAGTCAGTAGCCAGTCCCTCCCACCCATCTGCCCACCATTCTCCCAACACACACCTTGGGTTTCTCCCCCTGCACCTCCTCTTCTTCCTCCTCCTCCTCCTCCTCTTCTTCTTCTTCCTCCTCCTCCTCCTCTGTGGGTGGCAACACTGGTGGCTGCTCCTCTTGGGGCTCAATTACATCCGGAGCAGAAGGGGCAGGCATCTCAGTGGGCAGCACCTGGCAGACCCGGGATTGTGGAGGCCAATGCTGAGGACTTGGGGAGCAACCTCATCTCCAGGCTGGGGACCACTGGTTCACATCTTGGCCTCCATGGTGGACCAGGTGCCAGCCCAGGAGGTATTTTTGTGAGGGGTTGGGGGGCAGGACCACTTCCCCTCCTTTCCCCACAGACCTCAGAGCGGTACTTGTCCCTGATGCCGGCCCAGACACGGTCATAGAAGGAGGCAGTGTCAGTCTGTGTGTCCCCACTGAGAAGGGCCTGTGTGCATTGGGGTGGGGTCAGGGTTAGGCCTTCAGAAGTCCACCCACCCTGCCCCAGGCACTCACAACTAGGGACCAGGCCATAGCAGATGGGCCAGGTACTATGACCAGGAGGGAGAGCAGAGGCCTGAAGGAGGTCCAGGGGTTGGGAAGTAAGGGGACGTCAGGACTAGGCACAGATGTACAGAGGCAAGGTGCCAGAGTGTGCCAACACCCTAAGCAACGGTCCAGAAGGGGCAGGAAGGACCCAGTTTGCAGTAGAGAGGGTAGAGGGGCAGAGCCAGGATGGCAGGTAGAAAGAGCTGGCGGCCTAGGGATAGCAGGTACAAGACTCCTACTCTGAGGCAGCGAGCAGAGGTAAGTGGGGTGGACAAGCATGGGAACAGGCTCCATGAGCCCTGGTACTCGTCCAGGGTCCTACCAGGCGGCCAGCAACTTATGGTCTCACACTGACAGGAATGGCCTCACCTCAGGCCAGCGGGGAGCTCTCCACCAGAGCTGGCCTACCTTGACCCCTCTCACCCTGAATTCACTCTAGGCCAGTGGTCTCTACAAGGCCCAGGCCAAGGCTAGGCTGGGATACCTGGGCCTCCTCTTCGGACAGCACTGCATCCCCATCTGTGTCTAGCTCCGGGTGAGTCTGTAGCTCAGCCACCGAAACCCTGAGGGAATAGACAAGGAAGGGTGAGGCTCCTGGGACCTCTCCTTGTGAGTGTGAGGGCTGGGATGTGAGGGGCAGGCCCAGTCACTGCCCACTCGACTCAAGGCACAGTGGGAGGATTCACACCTGCACCCCATATCCCCAAACCCACCTCCTGACCCACCAGCTTCCATCCGCTTCTGCCC